GCTCCTGCAACCCAGCAGGGGCTATAGGCGGGCCCTTGGACTTTATCCGTAAAATAGAAGTGGTTCCCAAGACAGCTCTTTGTTCGTCAATGTTTCCCGAACCGATCGAACCGGGTGTGTGTGGGAAAAAATATTGATTTGCAACGAAATAAACCAATATAGGGGCAGTGCCAATTTCAAGGGATGAGTAGGCCTAATATAATTTGTATCACTTATGAGTGCTATCTTGAAGGTTTTGAATTGATAAAACTCGAGGGCATGTCTCTTGGCCTTATTCATTGAATCCCAAGACAACCCTATGTTGTATAATTGACTTTTTAGGAGAGAATATGCGTTTCTATTGCTAAAGACGGCTATGTTGAAGGTTCTAAATGTGTAAATCTCGAGAGCGTCAGAGGATCTGCAGTAAGGGCCCCCGACAGGGTTCTCTCTGGGGGTCTCTGGTGGTCTCTGGGGGTCTCTGGAGCCCTAAGGCTGACCCTTGAACCCCATCACGAAGGGCTCGCATGCAGCGCGCTTCGCAAACGGTGTCATCGTCCCTCCCCTCCCCCTTTTTGGGGGTAAGTCCTGGATTCGCCGTTGCTAACAATACATTGGGCTCGAAACGAAATGTATCGGGTCTCAATGGTTATGAAACCATAATAATCTTGTACAGGAAGTAGACATGCATAGGGTCAAAATACAAAAGGATCTCCTATGGGATGATAGCGATGTAGAGTCTTTTAAGGCAAGTTTGAAGTATTTTTTGTTTACCGGTAATAGTAATTTATAGGGCAGTTTAATTATCTGTAATGTTATTATTAGAATTATGTATTATTATTGCTGTATGTTTATTTTACGTTGTACCTAATTACTTGTATGTTAAGCGCTTAGAAACATTGTATTAAGCCCTTTATAAATGTAATTTATTATTATTATTATTACAGAAACTTGCCAAGATATCTTGTTCGAAAAACAGTACTTTGTTTTAAAAACAAAAAAAATGAAACAGAAGGGGGAATACTAAATACTAAATACTGATTTTTGTCATTTGTCATTGAAAAAAAGTTTGTGAACCCCCCCCCCCCCTGGCACACATGTGGTGCATGCTCTGGTTGTCCTCAGGAAGCGGTCGAATTCTAGCCTACCTACGTGCTCGGGAGGTGTTCTGGAAGTGCCTTATTTGGACATGACATATAGGATGTTCTGGAGGTGGTAAGGATCTTGAGGTGCATTCACAGATCGAGGTGTTCTGGACGTGCTCAGCCGGTGTTCTTTGGTCTGGAAGTGCCTCAGCCATGGGTGTCGATCCCCCCGGGGGGGGGGGGGGATGGGGGGATATATCCCCCAATATTTCAGGTGGGGGGGGGGGTGGCCTGTAAAATCATCCCCCCAATAATTCACCCTCAAAACAAAACCAAAAAAATAATGATGAGAGCCCGATGAGAGTAGTTAATGGTTATTACTCGCAAGATGACCGTCAATATACACATTTTGTTATCTCATTTTCATAATACATACATATATACGAAGTAAATGTGACAACCGTATATAAGACAAGAATAAATTGAATTCAGACAAGGATTAATATACAGAACAGTACAGCGAATCGCCATCTTTCTCTAATAATTTAGTGAAACGGCAAAGCTTCCGCGCTTCACGCGGGAGGGGGCAACTGAATTCAGACTAGGATTAAGAGTTATAATCAAATGAAACGTCAAAGTACACGATACAACGAATCATCTTCTTTTTCTAATAATTTAATGAAACGTGAAAGCTTTCACGCTACGCGCGGGATAGGCGAAAGTGATTTCAGACGTGGATTAAGAATAATAATCAATGAAACGTCAACGCTTCCGCGCGTCGCGCGGGAGGGGGAAAACTGAATTCAGACAAGGACATGATACGACGAATCGTCTTCCTTCTCTAATAATTTAATGAAACGATAAAGCTTCCGCGCTTAGCGCTGGATGGGCGAAAATGAATACAGACAAGGATTAAGAGTAATAATTTATTGAAACGTCAAAGTTTCCGCGCGGGAGGGCGGGAGCGAATTGCACTCAGACAAGGACACGATACAACGAATCGTCTTCTTCCTCTAATAATTTACTGAAACGTCAAAGCTTCCGCGCTTCGCGCGGGAGGGGGAAAACTGAAATCCCACAAGGATTAAGAGTCTAGAATGGTACATCGAAACGTCTTCTTTCTTTAATAATCTAATGAAACGTCAGAGCTTCCGCGCGTCGCGCGGGAGGGGGAAAACTGAATTCAGACAAGGACATGATACGACGAATCGTCTTCCTTCTCTAATAATTTAATGAAACGATAAAGCTTCCGCGCTTAGCGCTGGATGGGCGAAAATGAATACAGACAAGGATTAAGAGTAATAATTTATTGAAACGTCAAAGTTTCCGCGCGGGAGGGCGGGAGCGAATTGCACTCAGACAAGGACACGATACAACGAATCGTCTTCTTCCTCTAATAATTTACTGAAACGTCAAAGCTTCCGCGCTTCGCGCGGGAGGGGGAAAACTGAAATCCCACAAGGATTAAGAGTCTAGAATGGTACATCGAAACGTCTTCTTTCTTTAATAATCTAATGAAACGTCAGAGCTTCCGCGCTACGCGCGGAGGAAGGGGAACTTGATTCAAACATTAAAGATTAAAAGTCGAGAATGGTACATGAAATCGTCTTCTTTCTTCAATAATCTAATGAAACGTCAGGGAGGAAGGGGAACTTGATTCAAACATTAAGGATTAAGGATGGTACATCGAATCGCCTTCTTTCTTTAATAATCTAATGAAACGTCAAAGCTTCCGCGCTACGCGCGGAGGAAGGGGAACTTGATTCAAACAAGAATTAAGAGTCGAGAACGGTCCAACGTATATCGTCTTCTTTCTCTAATAAGTAAATGAAACGTCAAAGCTTCCGCGCTTCTCGGGGGAGGGCCCTCCCTGCACCCAACCCCATTTGCGCGCTCTATAACTCTCCTGGCTACGCCCTTGGTGAGGGGTGCGACCCGGCCACACGCTTCTACCTCTTGATTGCTTTGATCCATTGCCGAAAATATTTTGGCACCTATCATCCCCCCAACCACGGATATAAATCGACACCCTTGGCCTCAGCTATTGAGGTGGTGCTCTGGTGGTACCCAGGATCAAATTAATTTAGTGCTCTGGATCGATCGAGGTCCTCTTAAAGTATTCTTAAATTGCTTGACCTGCTCAAGAGGAGCCCATAAAGACGTGTTCGGGAGGGGTTCTGGAGGTTCCCCGGAAGTGTTCTGTAGTATTAGTAGTAACGAAGTTCATTTTAATGAGATGCACAGATTAAATTTCTCTCTGGAGGTGCTCAGGATTTTTTAAATTTAAAATTTGGATTTTCATTTAATTTACTTACAGACTGATGCTCTCTATAAATGTCTTAGCTCACAAAGTCACTGAACATAATAAGCATATAGGCGTAACTCATAGAGAAAACGAATCCTGCTTCGATCGTGTATTATATAAATGCAATAACGTATGACCTCGATTCATGGTTCCTTGTACAATGACAAGTGGATTTGTTTAAGTATCCGAGGATTATATACCAGGCCGCCATCCTTGTCAAGCTTTGCTTATGATTGCGGTCTCCTGCACTTTTCCAACAGAATAGTTTGGATAATACTTTAAATGTATGATTATATGTTATGGAAATATTAAGTTTCGTATTATGTAAAATAAACATTTTGACATGCAGAAATTATTGTTTGTTCATGTTGTATATTATACCTTACATTTATATATGTTATTTGTTATTCAGTTATATTTTATAAGGAAAAAATGCAGAAATAAAATCAAAATCAAATCAAAACTCATACGCCTTATAAATATGGGCCCGGCCTATTTCTCGAGATCTCCCCGGCCCCTCGACTCTTTCCTCGCCGGCCGCCCTCCCCCGGGCCCTAACCGTCGACCCCCGACTCTCTCTCTCTACTGTTGGGACCGTCATTGGTATCATACGATTCTCTATCTTAACCAGCATGATAAAATAGTTGATAGGCAAACTCCACTGCGATTATAAATTGCAAAATGTTATAAGTATATCATTTTAATCAATTTACGTACACAGTGAAAATATAAATCAAGGCTCTTAATTCAAAGAACGATTTACAATGAGTGGGTTATAGACCAGGCTGTGGTATTGTGGTCTAGTGGACAGTGGATCACAGGGTCTGCGGTTCGAGTCCCCCAGCGACACTAATGCCTTAATTGCACTGCATGTGGCAGTTGTTAAATGGGTATGAATGAATTCCTTGAATGCTGAGCCGGGCAAATTATTCGGAGTACTTTGCGCTATATAAATATCCGATATCATTATTATTATTAATGAATAAACAACATGCAAATTAATGGAGTTTACAGATAGCACATGGTAGGCCTACAAATGACCCCAAATATCCACAGATCTTTTACACATGGAGAAATTCCACTTTGAGCATGAGAATAATAACTGCCAAAGTCCAAGATGTGCTTCATGAATACCTTTTGTTTGCCCCCTTGAAAAGAATACTTCCACCTGCGCATATCCAGTATTCATCTCTGGTGGGTTTTACCTTTTTGGTTCAAATGACCTTTATCTGCCCATGCGCAGATTGTATCTGTAAACTCCCTTATTATGAAGAAAGTTACCCCTCCCGCCTGCAGCCAAACCAGTCAAAACAAACCCAGGCCAAGGTCATCGACCTGTATAGTCTGTTTTGTCTGTGGTCGACTCGAGCACTGGCTAGATTTAATATCAGACTTTAATTATTATTGACAATCACTGATAGGATACTGAGTCAAAGCTTTTATAAAAAGTAATATAAATTTCTAATAGAAATAACGATCCTTCCTAATTTCTTTATTTTTTTTTGAAAATTACTTTATCTTCTCTCCTATAAGATTCACTGATTTGAATAATGCATATTATTATGGCCTGAAACTCAGACTAAAATTTAATAACGCGCGCCGAATGGCACAACATGGCTGAGAAAAAGACTGACTTCTATTTTTGCCCGATTTGTCGCCAAAGTGATATCAGAGGAAGAAAGCACGTGTTCAGCAAGAAACATCAAGATCGCCTCATATTTGTGTTAGAAAAATTTGCATTGAAGGTGAGACTGATGTTGTTATTGAGGTCGAAACATGGGATTGTGTTGTGTGTATTACTCATTCATTAATCATTGATCATTACTCATGAATTTAGACTTGCAAACTCAAGTGTGTGCGTGTCTTGAGCTGAGGCTGCAGCTGAACGCTGAACTGAGCTGAGCGTATTTAAACTAGGCCTAGAGTCTAGTCATAAAGCCAAAGGCTGCACTGCACTGCACTGCACTGTGAAGCGAGGCTGCAACTGTGAATCGAAGATGAGAATGTCAACTGAGCTGACTGAGTAGAGAGCTAGAGAGAGTGGGTGTTGCACGAAAAACTTTGCGCATTGAGCGCTGTAGGAGTGGCGCCCAGTGAGTTTCGATTACCCACTCCCATTCAAGCGCGTACTATGTAGCCAGGATTTCAGTTAGCAGGTTAGGGGGGCAGTTGTGAGCACGCAAAATGTGCAAATCACTTACTGAGCGCGCTCCCTAGGTACAGGGAGGGGGGAGTTTCCCACGCTCTTTGACTTTTCATTGAATTATTAAATTAGAGAAAGAAGACGAGACGTTGGACCGTTCTCGAATTTTCTTAATCCTTATCTAAATTCAGTTTCATTTGACGTTTAATTAGAGAAAGGAGACGATTCGTTGTACCGTCCTCGACTCTAAATCCTTGTTTGAATCAAGTTCCCCTTCCTCTGCGGGTAGCGCGTAATCTCTGACGTTTCATTCGATTATTAAAGAAAGTTGTACCTTTTTCGATCGACTCTTAATCCTTGTCTGAATTCAGTTCCCCCCCCCCCCTCTCCCGCGCGGTAGCTTTGACGTTTCATTAAATTATTAGAGAAAGAAGACGATTCGTTGTACTGTTCTCGAATCTATACCTTTTTCTTTTTACGTCCTCTTCCTTCTTTTTTTTTCTCTCCTTTTTTGGGGGCCGGCGTTTTAGGTGGGCGACAGCCCCCACCAATCCGCTCGAGTGGCTTCAAATTTAAGTGAAAGAGGGCCTAGAGTCAACTTAAGCGCAACTTAAGTTCAATGGAAATGTGAATACTGTCATACCTTATTATTATGTCACACCAAGGAGATTTTGACATGTCATGATATTTCAGTCAACTCAAAGCTCAAACCCTCTATTTGTTAGATTTTTTCAGCTTAAGTATTTCACTTAAGTTTATGGCTTACGTCTGCGTTTACAAAGACGATCCTCGTTTATGTGGATGATCCTTATTCTCGGACCAGCGCCCCTACTGGTTGTTATTCTGTATTTTTATAGATAGTCTATGTTTCAATCAGGTACATGTACATGTAGTTGCCTCCCCCCTTATATAGCATTCTAACATGGTTTATTTCTTTTTCGATACCACTACCATACCAGTGATTTACAAATGTTGCTGAAGTGACATGATTTTCCGGGATTTTGTTTACTTTAAAAAAAAATAAGATTATTTCTACCGTCTAGGTCTAGAGACTAGACTATACTTTTTTATGCATTTGTTGGAAAATGACAAATTCCCAAATTCCCAGTCAAGCAAAAGATATGCTTATTTAGAAGCCTACATGTACATGTCAGGGCCCACAGAACGAAGGTGCTCAGGGGGTGGGGTGGGGGGGGGGGGATGGGACTAGAGGGTCCCCATCCTTTTGAAAAAAGTATGTCAAAGATAAAGAGAAATAGTCTACCAGAAAGAAAAAAAAGAAAAGAAGAAAGAAAGAATAGACTTAGACCAAACTCAACAGATCCATGGGGTCCCCTAAATTGTCACTTTGGACCACAAATGTTGAACCTTGACAGGGAGCCAATGCAGGTGGACCCCAAAAATGTTTAACTGGAAAGTTAGTGTGGAGAACTGGTTTACAGTGTATATATATATCAAACCATATGTTTCTTTCTTGCTTCAGAGTCACTTCCCTGCCACCTCTCTTTTAAAGGTAAATATCAGTTTTAGAAATGCCCCCCTCTCCAAAAATGAAATGGAAGCTCTTATTACAGTACCAATCATGTGAAAGAATTTGTTTTTACTAATACGTGATGATACAAATTTTTCTGAGAAACCACCAACTAATTGATATATTTGGTAAATTATTATATCTATTTGGACCCGATAGATATCACGCATGTGTCGTGTAGTCCCATATTCATCTTTTTGTGTCCAGTGCTTGTAACTTTACCAAGACTGGGCCAAATTTCTTATCATTTTGATGATTCCAGAACCTTGCAGTACACACCAATACTTATATGCTAGATGATCAACCTGTCCTGATTGATTCCACAACATTTCTTTCACAATGCAATCGCTTGACCATGGATATTACTGGTCTTTATCTTTAATCTAATCTGATGGTTAGCCAACGTCTCTCCATACAGAACTGATGCCTTTGAGGTTGTGATCAGGAAGGAGGGAGTTACACCCAATACGCGCTAGCTTGGTGACCTGGGACCATGGACAGTCTGGTGACGTTGGACAACCAGGTGACTGAGAGGATCTTCGAGGAGACCCTAACCAAGGAGCAGCTCGATGACATGCTCAAGAATCAAATCAGACCAGGTTAGTATTACTTATGATGCAATGCTTCAATGATGCGTGCATGCACTCTAGCTGAAAATTACTCTGGCGTGACTTGTTAACACTTAAAGGTAATACAAAGTTTTGGTATGGGGTCATGAATTTGGTTCAAATGAACATATTGGAAGCATATGCGATCCTACAATATTCAATGATCGTTGTCGCGGTTGAAATCGAGTCTAAAGTTATGAAATTGTAAATAATAAACTCTTTATGTTGTATAGCTCCCTCTCAAGGTCAATTCATTAATTTAGCTATAAAACAATGTTTCTTGACTAAAATCGACCAATTGGCTAAACCCGTTTGGAAATTATATATTACAACTACATATTCTGAGATTGTCATGGTCCCAACTACTATTGTATGGCTGTAGGCACTATTTGAAATTCATCAAAATTTACCGGGAGCACCGGTAAATTTTTATATTCAAGTTATCTCGAAAGCAGAATTGTTTGAGGGGCTAAATTTTCTAGTGCTTATAATTCATCCACAGGGGCATCCAAATATATAAAAATTGTAAAGAATCACTATCCAGCCAATTTTCAAAATTTCCCAAAACTTTGTATTACCTTTAAGCAGGGCTCCCATTTAGCCGAGTTGTATTAGCTAATTATGGGGAGTTGTGGTGAGTCGCCTAAAAGAGGCACTTGCAATAACTCGCGAACAGCTCTTCTTGTAACTTGGGATAACTCGCAACAATTTGGTATGGCTTGTTTACAGCATTCCACAACTCTCCTCGAAGTCGCGAGCAGTTGTTCAAAATTTTTGCCGATTCGTTGTAATTCGAGGTGAACTCGCCTACACTTGTAATATACTCGCATTACTCGTAACAAGCTCGCGCTACACTATTCATAACTTGTAGCAACTCACCACCTTATGAAGAGTGCAGCGCGAGCTTGTTACGAATAATGCAAGTATATTACGAGTGTAAGCGAGTTCACTTCGAGTAACAACAAATTCACCTCGAGTAACAACTAATTCACCTCGAGTAACAACGATTCATTGTAACTCCAGGTAAACTTGCTTACCGTAAAACTCGTAATATACTCGCATTACTCATAACAAGCTCGTGCTGCACTCTTCATAACTCGTAGCAACTCGCCACCTTATGAAGAGTGCAGTGCGAGCTTGTTACGAGTAATGCGAGGATATTAGGAGTACATGTACATGTAAGTGAATTCACCTCAAGTAACAACAAATCAGTGAAAATTTGAAAATTTTCAAAATTTTGTAACTGCTCCCGACTTCAAGGAGAGTCGAAGAATGTTGTAAAGAGTTACGCTGAGCCATACTGAGTTTTTGCGAGTTATCCCGAGTTACAAGAAGAGCTTTCCCAAGTTATTGCGAGTGCCTCTTTGAGGCAACTCACCACAACTCGTCTTAAATTGCTAATACAACTCAGCTTAGTGGGAGCCCTGATTTTAGCCCTCAATTCAATTCAATGAAATAACTATGAAGGGTGCCACACTCAGGTGAATTGCCATTTGGTCTACAACTAGTTCGTCTACTACCCAATTATTCCCATATGGTCTACACTCAGCCCGTCTACTATCCACATGGTACTCTCATAATCATTCTGTATACTTATCATTAGTTCTAATTACCATGTATAGGCCAAAGTCAATTAGTCTTATTTCCTTTTGGTCTAATATCCAATAAGTCTAATTCCCATTTGGTCTATCAATCATTTGGTCTAATTGCCAGTTTTTCTTATGCCTATTTTGTCAACTATCCAATTTATCTAATAATCATTTAATCAATAATGATAATCACCAACTTTTTCAAAGATCTTAGTCATGGGTGGTAGAAAAAATGGGCATTAGACAAACAGGAAATTAGACCAACTGGCAATTAGACCAAGTAAGTGATATACCAAATGATAAGTAGGCAAAATAATTATGGGACCATGTGGAGATTAGACAGGCTGGGTGTAGACCATATTGTAATTTAGACCAATTGGGTAGTAGATGAACTACATGTCACTATGAATATGACTGACAAAGAAAGCAGACAAAATATACAGTTCCTCATGCAGACAAAGGAACATCCCTTCACTGCTATTATGTAAAAAGGTGAATATGCATGTGACACCTGTTCTACACATTTTGACATAACAGCAGTGAAGGGATGTTCCTTTGTCTACCTGAGGAACTGTATATTTTGTCCGCTTTCTTTGTCAGTCATATTCATAGTGACATGTAGTTGCAGACCAAATGGCTATAAACCCCACACTCGTTATTGTCCCCAGGTTAGGAGCCTAATATTGTGGGTCTGTATGCTTTAGGTGATTCAGGTACCTCTTGATTGTTGGATATTTTTGTAAGGGGCCATGTGTACTACTCTGTCCCTGTTAGTGTTAATCCTTGCCTAGACTTAGCTCTATAGAGTACCAAAGCTGTGACGTCATAAAAATCTATTTTGAGAATTTCTCAATTTTTTTCTTCATTTTCCGAAAGAGCATCAAAAATAATGTCCAAATGTCGAAAACCACTTTAATATGTTAAGTATTGGCTGAGATATGACCATCTGAATAAATATATTCCCCATAGGAACTCAGTGTTATATGCTCTGGCTCGTAATGGTTAGGAGCCAGAGCATATAACACTGAGTTCCCATAGGACATATATTTATTCAGATGGTCATATCTCAGCCAATACTTAACATATTTAATTGGTTTTCGACATTTGTACATTATTTTTGATGCCATTTCGGAAAATGAAGAAAAATTGCGAAATTCTAAAATTAGATTTTTGATGACGTCACACTTCACCACTCTATACCTAATCCTAAACCTCACAAAGTCAAATCCCAAGCCATCTACATGTATATCTCATCCTATAGAAGAAAGTCTAGATTTCTGCTCAGAGATTGAGAAACTACACAAAAATACAAGAACTAATGATGCTCTCTGTTCACAAAGAATTGTTTCACAAATGGCGCTCTTCCAACAAAAATCTGGCTTTTTTGTGTACAGTGTACAGTACAAAAATGCTGTAGCACAGGGGGTATGAACAAATTTTAAGCCAATACATGTAGCAGTCAAGTGGCTAAGATGATGTACATTTTTCATTAAAGCTTATCTGCCATAGTTTACAGGAGGGATTAGAGCGCCCTGCAGGGTTACTGGACAGGTGGTTATCTCATCAACTCAGCTCTCAGTTAACATAAGAAAAAGAGGATCATGGGGGACCAATGGTCACCGATTAGGCATTGTTTGTTGTAAGAGGGCGCAAGTAGCTACAAGTAGTGCAGTGGGCCTTTAAGAATTACATAGATTTACTAACATTTTAGAAGCTCGATTTATTCAACCAGGCAAGTGGAAGTGGAACTGAAATGGTCAAATTCACAGGAAAAACATTTTTATCATGGGAATAGTAGACCAATGCTTATAATTTTGTGTCTCGCCTGTGTAGCAAAAAGCGAGACATAGGTGCCGCTTTTCCGGTGACGGCGGGGGCGACGGCGGTTACGGCGTCAACATCAAAAACTTAACCAAAGGTTAAGTTTTTGAATTTGTGATATAATTTTTAAAGTATAAGTTTTTAGTCAATGAAATTTGGACTATAGGGTTATCAAGTCTCCCCAATCATGTGAGTAGAATTTCAGGTCACTAAGTTAAGGTCAAAGGTCATTTTAGGTCAACAAACTGAGACTTTGTTGTGTCATCAACATTAAGATATAAATTTTTTAGCATATTTTCAAAATTGTTTGTTCAAATTCCATGAAACTTGTACCCAAGGGAAATCAAGTATCCCAAATCATATGACACAACTTCCAGGTCACAAGGTCATTTTAGGTCATTTTTGGTCAGTAGACTTGGGATTATGTTTTCACAACTTAATATGAGAATTATTTAATCAATTTTGTTGATTAATTTGTTCATATTTCATTCAAGTTATTGATCGTGGTACAATTACTAGTAAATAATTCTTCTGATGATTCTTAGTCATAATTCACTTCAAAATGCTTATTACGGTATATTCAGAGGATTTCGTTTTTGGGGGCCTGCTAATGAACCACCCTGCCTGTGAATAATGCTCCAACCTCAATTTTTCATCATATCGAATTGCGTAATGCAGGCGAGACCGCCGAGAGCGTTTCCCTTGTTTTGAAATCTTGTCTAGTTTGGTTATTTTAACAGAGGCAATTTTCAGCCTGGTTGCTTTGTAATCTTATCAGCCAACAGATTGTGAAAGGAAATTCAAATCCACATTGGGTATATTGGCACAATGAATAATGATATCCCTATAAAATGGGACTTTCATCACAGCACAAAGCAAGACATCTCATGCCAACTAGATCCCTAGACATGCGTGAGCATTCAGAATGTTGAACTGCCAATTGAAAAGAATGCAGCTTTCAAAATACTTCCTTATTCGTTTCCCTCGGCTTAAAGCAAACATTAGTCAATCCTTTAAAGCCCCACTGTCCTACTTGTAGCTTCTTGCTCCCTCTATATAGAAAACTTCCCAAATCGGTGCCTGTTGGTCCCCCATGATCCTCTTTTTCTTATGTTAGTTGAGAGCTCAGTTAATGAGATAGCCACCTGTCAGTGACCTCGCTGTGTGGTCTAATCCCTTCTGGCCCAGTAGTGTTGACGGCCTTTAAATCAGTACATGACATTTACATCAAGCAACTGATGCTCTTCATATTTCTTTCATGCTGCAGCTCACTGGGAGGATGGTATTGCATCCTACTTCAGGGTCCAGAAGATCATTGATCTCCTGCAGGAGGTGGACAAACCCTTGGATCCCAATCTGGACCTTGCCATCACCGTCTTGTCCGCTGGCAGAGCTAGGATCCGCAACCAGTCTCACAAGGACTTCTGCCGCGACATCAAAGCCAAGATGGACGATCTAGAGGGTCAGACCGATGATGATCTTCATCAACCTGTAGAATGGCTAGCCCCTGGTTGCTTCCCGATAGGACCAGAGTGTGAATCCCTAGGAATCTTGGGTGATATTCTCTTTGACAAGGAGAAGTTGTTCCCTAAGGCTATTGATCCTGACAGCATTTCGAACAGAGTGATGTTTGAACTCAGTGAATATGTGACCCGTACAAAAGAAACGTATGAGACCCTGGCAGGGTGGATCAAGAAAATAATGGGATGGGGCGATGAATTTGACCTTACTTCAAAGATGGTTGACAATTGGTGCGCCACGTTGATGAGAGAGACCAAGAAAAGGAAGAAGAGTAGCTTAACTTTGGCTCAGAAATACCTCTTGCAAAAATTCCAATTTTCTGGGTTGGAGTTCCCTACAACGAGCCATGGCAAAGAGGATATAACTAAGCCATCCTTGGAGCATCCACCAGAAGCAAGTGGCATCGCTGTTGAATTTTCTGAGGATGATGCAGAGAATGACAAAGAAGAAGCCATGGATGTATCCGGTTTCCTTCAAGAGGGCACAGAAGTGGATAAACCACCAAGTGAAAAGAAATTACCGGTCACATCATCTTCACCTGTTGATGGAGATGAAAATGGGGAAATTGATGGCAACGATGGTGGTGATATTCACAACAGAAGTGATAAGGAATTGAGCAGTGGTGAGGAAAAAGAAGCAGTTGAAGCGTCAACATCACAGTCTTCAAGGAAGACATCACCTAGAAGTGCAGCTAAAACTGCTCGGGCCAAAATGATTACACCTGAATCAAAGACTCTATCTAGAGGTGCAGCTATAGCTGCTCGGGCCAAAATGATTACACCTGAATCAAAGACTATATCTAGAGGCGCGGCTATAGCTGCTCGGGCCAAAATGATTACACCTGAATCAAAGAATTTATCTAGAGGTGCAGCAATAGCTGCTCGGGCCAAAATGAGTAAACCTGACCCAAAGACTTTATCTAGAAGTGCAGCATTATCACCCTTGAGTAAGAAGGAAACTAGACAATCTACATCTTCTAAGAATACAAAGAGAAGAGCCCCAGCAAAGAAAACCACATCAAAAGTACAAAAGCCTGCCAGAAGTAGTGGTCGTAAAAGAATACTAGATTCATCTGATGACTCTAGTACTGGTGAAAAGCCTGCCAGAAGCAGTGGTCGTAAAAGAATACTAGAGTCGTCTGATGACTATAGTTCTGGTGATCAGGATGATGATGATGACGATGATGAGGATGAAGAAGAGGATGAGGAGGAGGAGGATGAGGAGGAGGAGGATGATAACAGCATCGAGGAAGGTGAAGTAAGGACAATCAGACGCAAGTCTGGGAATACCAGTATTATCAAGAGAGATATTGCTGAGGCTGCTAAACTTTTCACGTCCATGAGCGGAGTTGTGAATACTCTAAAGAAAGACATGCGAATCGCGATGGACTACCTGGAAAGTCAGACTGCCAAGATATGCAAGAATCTTCAAAAAGCCGAGAAAAAGCTGGACAATGTCATGAAAATGGTGGAATCGGACAAAGCACAACACGATAGTGAAGATGAGGTACAGGAGGAGAGTAGCGAGGAAGAAGAAGAAAGTGATGAGGAAAAACCGGTGAGACGTACCAGGGGATCACAGCAAACTAAGAAGATAACTGTTCAAGTCAAACCAGGCGTAAAAGCCAAACTTAAGAGACCACTTGTCAACGTCAAACGGCTTTCCCCCAGAAAGGGCCATTCTCACCCTACAGCCAGTGCACAGTCAACTAAAGTGACTCGAACGCCAATAAAAGTTTCTCGGCAGAAGATGGGTAGTAGAGCTTCAAGTTCAACAAAATCCATGGCCACCGAAGAAGAAATCAACAATTTTGACAAGGAAAAGCTCTTCTCTAGCAGAGTGTCTGTGTCTCTGGTTAAGATTAGTAGTAAACATCTAGTCAAGAAGACTTTAGAAGAGTATGACCATAGTTTTGAAGATAGTGACGAAGAGTCGACAGGGTTAAGAACGACACGAAGGCACTGTACTTCGTTTGAGAAGTCAGGGAAAACAAGTGCAAGAAAAAGTCCAGCTAGGAGAGGTCCGGAACCAAAGATAGACTCTGATGATGAAAAAGAGAGGAGCGATGAGGAAGACCGAGAGATGGAAGAAGACGACAAACTTTCAAATAGAGCAAGAAGAAGATCCGGCAAATTTCAGTCAGAGCAGAAAACTGCAGATGTGAGCTGTGTTAAGAATAAGAATTCAAGGAAGGTCACTTCCGATTCATCAAAGAAACAGGATTCTGATAATTCTGATGTTGACGAGAAGCCTACCTCTAAGAATTTCACAAGGATCAATCCTAGGGAAAGCAGAAATGGCAGAGTGAACCATACAAATACGGAAATAGTCTCAAGCGAAGAAGAAGAGAAACAACCCTCTAGGTCAACAAGGTCTTCACGGTCTTCAAGGTCTAGAAAGACCAAAGAGGATTCAGACAAGGGAGAGGGACCCTCACCTAGATCTCGGAAGGGAAGGGACAAATCCCAACTTGATAAGGAGGAAACTCACAAATCCTCTGAAATTGAACCACCTTACAGCGGCAGTGAGGACGAGGGTGAGGTTCCCAAGAAACCGGAGCGATCTGCTTTTGCCGCTCTGGCAGCGGGAATGTCCTCTTTTGGGGATTGGCGGGGAGCATCCGCAAAGGAGAAGGTGAAGAAACGATCTCTGAATGATTTTGTCAAACAGCTGAACAGTCCCAAGAGGAGAAAGACAGATTCTGGAAAGAAATCCTCTCCAGGAAAAACAAATGCTAGACATCAGCCCAATGACAAAAGCAGTGAGGAAGATGACATTGTATTGAATGAGGAGGAGAATGATGATGATGATGACTTTCTCGAAAAGCAGACTGAAATGGAACTTAAAAAACAAAAGTCAAATGGATCTACCACTCAGGAGGAAAGTACTAAACCACAAAATGATGATAAAATGGATGAAACCAATGATGACAAGCAAGAACATGAGAGTCCAAATGAATTTGAAACAGAGAGTCAAGTTGAAGGAGACAAAGAACAAAATAAGTCTGAAAAATGTGGCAGTGAGGACATTCCAGCAATTGAAAAGACTCGGTCCAATCAGAATGCTGATGATGAGGCAAAGGGTAATTCCGAACCAGCGGGGATCGAAGAGAAGGAATTCGTAAAAGATGATGAATTTCCTGGAGATGGTATTGTTGGAAAGCGCATCCGGCATCGCTGCAGCTTGGGCAAACATGGACTGTACAAGTGGTACGAAGGGAAGGTGGTCCACAAGACTTCTCCTAGTGAATTGCTCAAGCTGGACGAGGAACAAATTGGTCATCTGAACAATCTCTACACCTTTTATACGGTGAAGTATGATGATATCGACGAGCTTCATGCCAAAGCATTAGCGTATGACTGGGACAGAGAAAATTTGGTGCTCTGCTCATGAGAATGGAGCCAAAATCGTTGCTCATGCTGTATCCATAGATGCCAGTCTTTAGGCTTTTGCCTGATTTCAGGCCCTGTCAACTTCCCATTTTAGGCTTTTTCAGGCTTTATCTTGTACAGCACATATGGGGCTTTGACTTGTTCTGGCTTCTTTTCAGGCCCAGTGAGTAAAACTGACTGGCATCCTTGTGTATCAAGTGTTTTGGCTTTCATTTATCTGTACCGGTTATTGAAAGGTGCTAGCATCTGGGCATACCCAGGGAAGAGAGGGTTGGTGTAAAAGGACTGAAGCTTTTTCATAGTTTGGAATTCATTGACATATTCGTTTCCCATGTCAGGGCTCCGTATCAATTTTTGTTTAAACTGGGTCTCGATCCTGAGGCTCCTGACTGAATTTTAAAGTCCCTCTGCACAGGGCCCATGTTTCAATTAAAGACACTCAGTAGTTAGCTGTCATGGGGAATTCAACACCGTTCGGGTGTTCACCCAAGTTTTATGACCATTCAACCTTATTTAATGCTTTGCTTTTCCCTCACCCGATCTGAATCAGGATCCGAAGCTAGACTCTCCAAGAAATAAAGGGGTAATTCTTGACTGGCCAACGGGTTTGCTGTGTGCAGATTTGTACTCCCACTAATGGTTTTCCCACCAAGTCTGGTGTCAGCGAATTATGGCCTTCTGCACATGGAACTGACTCATGACTCCCTTCCAACAAATCTTAGGATCTGGAGATTATATTTGGGGCCCGTGTCTAGCGGGTGCCCGTAGTGGGTGCCTGTTGGCATCGAGCGCCAGCAAATGTAGAGGAGAATGTACATGGATTATTTCCCTATATAAATATCCCATTTGTTCTATGACTATTGAATGTGTTTTGAGCTTGAAAGCAGTATGACGATATTAAAGATAAACTTGAGTTCTGGTAAAAAAAAGAAAATGAATTCTCACAGAATCTCATGAAACTTACACTGAATGTTCAAGATTACAAATAAATGTCATGTGCCAAACAATTTTGGAAGAAAATGTATACTGGCTGAGTAATGAGCATAGAAAGATAAGGACATCAAGGTACACTGTAGTACTAGCCCTGACACTATTTGTGTTGTCCAATATACATCTTTCTGTGTACAGTGATTGTTACTTTACCAAGACTGGGCCCAATTGATTTTGATGACTCCAGAACCCTGCAAATACACACCAATACTTACATGCTATATGATCAACTTTTCTGATCCATTCCACACCTTTTCTTTCACAATGCAATCGCATTACCAGAACTCACCTTTATGTTTAAACACACGTCTCACCTTGCTCTTAGGGTATAGTAGGTGGATAGACCATTTCTCAATGACCCTACATCTCTTGACATGTTACACCCTGGTCTCCCCCCGCTCTAGATTGGGGGATACCGGTAGATAATTCCTATTTGACCATTTTGGGGAACCCCTTTGTGATGACTCTCGTATATCAGGTCCCGGGTTCAATCCTTGCTTGTTTTGCATAGCCTTGGATGAGGAATTTTGCCTACATTGGTCCCTCCTATCCCAGGGGGTGTTTCACAAAGATCCTAAGTTGATCTTATCTCTAAGTTGGACTTAACAATTATGGAAAGCCATTAGCATCTATGAAAATATTTTGTAAAAGTTATTATAAAAGGCATAAAATGTTGATTCAAATCATTAATATTTTCTATTATCAAGGAGATGTTCTTGATGTGAAATTTATGAAAAGTCTAAAATACTTCAATTTTCGCTTTTGAATATATTTTATTTCTAGGCTACAAATGGCTCGCCATCATTTTTAAGTCCAACTTAGAGTTAAGTTCGACTTAGGATCTTTGTGAAACACCCCCAGGTGTATGAAGTAGAGAAGCCGCGATAGCACAGTTGGTAAAGCAGTGGTCTCGTAATCCTGGTTCGAAACCAAGTACATTGTAGATGCGCTTTGGTAAGGCATCAATCCGCATTACCAGGCCCCTCGGAGAGAACCTAAAGCCCTCTGTCCTCTGGTGTATTAGGTAGATAGCTCAGTTGGTAAAGCAGTGGTCTCGTAATCCTGGTTTGAAACCAAGTACATTGTAGATGCGCTTTGGTAAGGCATCAATCCTCATTACCAGGTCCCTCGGACAGGACCTAAAGCCGTCTGTCCTCTGGTTGCTTACTAACAAGCATTTATTCTTTCTTAGCAGTCAGGTAAAATCACCACCACTACCACCACTACTGGGTACCCGGCAATGCTTGGGTATCAATAATTGAAAGCCTGTAGGGAGAGTAGTATTGATACTGATGCGGCTACCTCATTTAAATTTGAACAAATGATTCACTACTTCACCATTTGTTTTCACGGGCTAATTTAGTACTCAACTGGTTAATGATGTTGTTTTCCCCTTGGATTTAATTAATTGTTTATTTCCCTCTTCCTTTGATCCCCTCCCATTGTTAATATGCACTTTAACATGACGGACAAAGAAAGCAGACAAAATATACAGTTCCTCATTCTACCCTCAACAATCGCTGTGGTAGACAAAGGAACACCCCTTCACTGCTATTATGTAAAAATGTGTAGAACAGGTGTTACATGTATATTCACCTGTGCTACTTATCTTTACAGCTATTGAATAGCAGTGAAGGGATGTTCCTTTGTCTACCACATTTATTTTGTCCGCTTTCTTTGTCCGTCACATTCTTAGTAATTGCATGCTTCAATGTGTGCTAACTTTATGTAAGCAGCACAATCTTTCCTTCTGTCCAGTATAAGGGTATGTTCATTTGGCAATCATGCAAAAACTCATTTATCACTGTAACTGCAGAAAATTGTTAAAGGGAGTGTATCATGGGAAATACTAGTTAACGCTAGCTACGTCTTCTTTTGGACAACTGCACGTAAACGAACAGACTTGATTAACTGGGTCAGTGCGCGTAAACTGGGTCAGCACGTGCTAGCATTCGCGAAACAGACCGAAGTGCTCCTCACGCTTCGGTTTCGCGTATGTTGCGCGCACGTGAATGCTGTGGTCGCGTCGTCCGTAGTCGTATTATACCCGATTGACCCCAGGTAGGGCCGAGTGAAGGACCCATAGTCTCGTCATGACACACTCCCTTTAAAATGTCAAAGGTGAAAGATGCTATATTTGACATCTTAGTTTCAGATAAAATTTACAAGATTAAAAAAAAAATGTACAAATCATTCCTTTGCTAAATCTAAAAGTAATACATGCTTTGGAAACTCTTTAGGACGCAGTGCTTCTACTGTATCTCCTGGCTTCTTAGATTTTCTGTTCCTGTCTGGTATTTCTTGAAAAAGCATAGTGTATATTGGACTTAAGTTGGAATTTATAGAGATTACCAATTGTGTATGCAGGAATTGTTCATGTATATTTTTGGATACAGATATATTTGTGGATAGTAGCGACACTCGTATTTTCGCTAGTTGTTTTTACGATAATTACATAATTGCACAAGCTTTGTCAGCTCATTTTTTGCATGTAGTTAAATTCTTAACTACAATTTCTGAATTTAAGGAACATAAGACTGGCATATTGACAGTAGCAGCTTTATATACAGTTTACTCTAATTATAATAATATTTCCTTGATATGTGTTGCATTCTGATATTGATTTCAGAAATAAGTTGTTAAAGGCGTTGCACAAAAAAAATAAAAAAAATAAAATAATAATTATAATAATAATAGGAGTAGTAGCAGTAGCAGTAGTAGTAGTAGTAGTAGCAGTAGCAGTAGTAGTAGTAGTAGTAGCAGTAACAGTAGCAGTAGTAGTAGTAGTAGTAGCAGTAGCAGTAGTAGTAGTAGTAGTAGTAGCAGCAGTAGCAGTAGAAGTAGTAGTAGTAGTAGTAATAGTAGAAGCAGTAGCAGCAGTAGCAGTAGTACATGTTAGGAATAGTAATAGTAATAAAGATAATTATAATAATAATATGAAGAAATACCAGAAGGGACAGATGATAATAGTCTTAAAATGTATTTTCAAATTCGCTTTACAATTATGTCAGTTCAAGTCTTTTTAACCAAATCAAAAATATTTTGTGGAAGTTGTCAATATGCCAGATAAAGCAGGTTTTTAGATTCCTTGACGACTTGCTCTTTGGCTCATTTTGTGTAGTCTCGGTAACTCTCAAGTACCAGTAGACAGCGCTGCCAACCATTACGTTTTTTCCGGAACTATTCTGTTTTTACTCCCGATTACGGTAGTACTTTTTTTCTTCACAAAATACGGTTTTTATATATTTTGTTGTTGTTGTTGTTGCACATCAACCAAATGTCCTAAAATGTTAGCACTACTTCAATAGTAAACAAAAATAAAGTGAAAAGCATAAATATTCTCAAAAAGAAAATACCATGCAAACAAACATCAACATAAAACTATATACCTACTTGTAAATAAACTATACCGGTAGGTCCTAAATAATATGGAATTATTAGCATGAGGAATAGACAATTCTGCATTGGAACTTGGAAGTGTGTCCCGCATGGTTGTAAGTTTCGCTTTTGCTTGAAATTCCTTTTTTTTTGCCATCATGGTTCCTTTTTTTGATTGCACAAGGTTGGCAGCTCTGGGTATACGTGTCAGATTTGATGTATTAATGTACATAGTGAACATGTCCTAAATTTACAAATGGTGTAATTATCAATAGTTTTTCCCACATTGTCATATTGTGTAAAATACAGATTAGACTAATTTCATTCAGTCAGGAATAACAGTTTCCTACTTTCTTACCTCCTTTTGGGCAAAGTTCTGTTATCAATCTAGAAATGAAAACGACATCTGTAAATCTGTGTAACCTATAACTACCTGTCTTTGGTGAGTTGGAAATCTTGGTAATAATAATTATCCTTGTCTATATAGCGCCTAACACTTTCTTTATCATAAGTCTCTATTAAAGCGCTCTACAATAATGCAGCAACCTGGCTTTAGCAGTGCTGCTGTTACGCGCACTGCGTTTCAAGGAATAAATTCCTACCAGGTACCCATTTACTTCACCTGGGTGGAGTGTGGCAAATGTAGATCAATGTCTTGCCGAAGGACATTAGTGCAGCGGCGGGACTTGAACCGTGGACCTTGTGATCGACAGTCCGGCGACGTATCCACTCGACCACAACACCTCTGGTACAACAAATTTGCTTGAAGCTCTTGCCCCTTGCTGTCCATATTAACTAACAAATGATTTGGAGACACACTTAGTTTTAAAAACTTTGAACTTTTACTAGAGTTGAAAGCACTTTGGAATGTAAAAATTGTTCTTAGTATTTTTACGTAGAAGGGTGTGCCAGCTTGACTTGCTTTAATTTGTTCTTGTCTTCTTAAAAGAGTTCTCCATCCATGTCTGTATTGTCGAAATCAATGAACACTCGATCCTGTATTGAAACTCAATTTGTGTGTCTTATGTACAACTGTAGTTGATTTTTAAAATATTTTGTACATGTATTGTATATACACCTGTACATTTGTATTCTGTGTGTACATTGTCAGCTTACCAAGAGAAGATTTTTACAAAGAGTTGTTTTGTGAATCCCAAGATGCTTAAATGTGAAACTACATTCATTCGCTGCAAGGTCTAGATGCGGAGATGGTGACACACAGGGCAATTGAAATTGCTTTAGTTTGATTTTTTGAAAGGCTTTGTGATCTTGTACTGAGAAAAGTACATGTAGTAATGAAATCAAAGTAGATGTAGTAGAGTGTATCATTTCTTTTCTGCTGTAAATATTGCATTCTTTTAAAGTTTGCTTATTTTTATACTTTGTAGAACAGGGCATCACTTCATGTTTACTTTGAACATGATATTAATCCATAGTTTTGATGGTAATACTTTATTTTTTTAATCGATTGAACAGACTATGGTAGACTGATTTATGAAGGGATTTTAAGTAGAATTGTCTCTTTCAAAGAAATGTATTTCAATGAGAAATGGACCTTGTTCTCCACAAATATATGTTTCAATAGATTTTTTGAGATGTAATACTGTAAGATCTTTAAAATATGATTTTATTTTAATTTTTATGTTTTTGATCAATCTTATCCATCACGTTGATCTGGTCAATGTGATTAGCCAGATTTATCAGACAATCTGATTGGTCAGTTACATTGGTCAATCATCATGAACCTTCTGATTGGTCAACCATAGAAGCATGTTGGTATGAACTGGGGGTGTCGTGGTATAGTGGTTCATTCACTTAATTCTCAATTGAAGGATTGGGGGTTCAAATCCCAGCCTGGCCTTATTAAACTTCCTTTCTTTGGCAAGACATTAATCCTTATTTGCCACTCTCCATCCAGGTCATTACCATCATCTTCATCACTATTAATTAAAGTCTGCGCTTTTCCCGCTAACGAAGGATTACTTGTCATCATGGCACTCCCTCTCTCCACTTCTTGTCTCGAGCTTCCTCATTTAGAGTTTAGACCAACCTTACCGCTCCCTTTCTTCACCATATCTTTCCATGGGATCTTTGATCTTTCTTTCCCTTCTATGGCATCCACTTCCAGATCCCATAATAATAATAATAATAATAATAATAATATGTCTTGTTTACCCAGGGTAGCCTCATCAGTATTCGTACTGTTCTCCCTGAGGGCCCTGCAATCATATTATTACCCCCAGT